TTAATCACCTTGCAGTAAAAGTGTAATTAAGGAGTCACTCTGCCTTCTGGGGAAGGCTCGCTTGGAAGCCGAGAGAAAATGGTCTCTTTATTAACACAAATTATTTTATTTGGCTAAAGGTAATAATTCTAAGTGAGGTCAACGGGACTTGTGCACACGCGAGCGACGCCGGGTCCCGGCCAGCGTTTCCATGGCGACTGAGCCAAGTTCATCCTCCGCGGTAATGGCTTTGCTCTCCCACCACCGCTCAGGATTGTTTCTTGGGGAAAAAAACAGCCTTCGATCTGTCAGTGGCATCTCCTCACTGCACCCCATCGGGGACCGCGCGGCAGAAGCCCCCCCACCCCCCGGGGCCTTCGGAGGTGGTTTTTGCAGAAGTGCCATGTTTAAAGGGTGGTGGCACCATCCCCCCGCAGCCGCTCGGGGCCGGGGGCTCGTGGCACGGCACCCACCAAATGGTGTCCAGCTGGGAATGGCGTTCAAGAAGCAGGACCAGAACACGATATTGCTTTTCGTCTTTTCTAGCACAGCTACAGCCCGGGATGGTTGCAGGGCGGTTGTAGGACCGCGTCCATCCCAACCCTGCACAGCTGAGCCGCGGGAAGTTTCCCCACCACGTTCCCATGGGGCAGTCAGGGTTTTACCGGGCTGCAGCTTCTCCATGGAACTGCGACCAACGCCACAAGGAAAGCCGTGCCAGGGATGTGTCCCCAGATGTTTGCCAGGCAGAAACACATTTTCCTCCCCATTTTAGCGTGGCTCTCGCTAACGCGTTTGGCGTCTTAACGGGCACCAAGTTGCAGCGAGTCATTTACCTGCGAGCGTTTGCAGGCTCTTACAGCGCTGAGTGTCCATTACGAGCAGGGAACAGCATGTTTAAAAATATATCTAATTTCATAAAATCGAACTCTAATAAACGTACTAGTAAAAAACCAGAGAGGATTCGGGCTGTAAAATCCCGTTTTCCCAAGCACATTCCTACGCTCAGAGAACTCATGTGTTATTCTGTCTCCCGCAGATTATTGTCTGAACACAGCGGTGATTTATCTGTCTCCCATGTCATGTCATCCGTTTATGTACAGTATTATATGTAGAGTACGGCATTAACATTTTACTATTATTCTTACCTTTCAATGCAAAAAGATAAGAGTGTAAATCTGGGAGACGAGGGATGTGTCAACAGAGCTGAGCCAGCGCTCCCGGCGTGCGGGTGCTGGTCCTCCTCCCTCGGCTCCCCGGGGGACTGTCCCCAGCCCAGTGACCACGGTGGGGACATTGCCATCACTGAAACGTGGCCTCAGCCGGCACCCAGCAGCACCATGGATGCGCTCACCATTTCCCCCCCCCAATAAAACAAACCCCCTTAACCCAAACATCCTTCTCCAGCACAAAGCATCCTCCCGCGAGGCTGCAGACAGAAACCACCTCCCTGCCACGCCAGACGGAGCAACAAACAGCCTGTTCACAACTTACGGCCGGGCCCGCGTAACTTATTAACACCTAGTCAAGATTAATCAAGCGGGGAAAGCTGAAGCAGGTCCCTAATTAGTTGCTGATGATAACTATATTTGTCATCCTCTCCCAATTAGTCTACTGTACATTTTGGAGTTTAATTGCACCTTGTTCTTCATTTAAATGTCATCATGTGCATATATTCTCCTCATTCTTTAGTAAATTTGAGAAAAATTTGACATTAAATATAGATTATCTTTAGATTTTCATAATTAACACAACTGAACTGTCTTCGGCCTAAATACATCTCCTTATGCTATAAATCCGGCCGCTCTCTTGGAAGCGGGTATTTCCAGGGGCGCCGCAGATGTGTGCTTGCCTTCCCCTGGCACTGGTGACACTGGGGCTGTGCATAGGTGGCACTGGTAGCCATGGTCAGGAGGTGGCCTTGGTGTGTCTTCCTTGCCCAGACCCCTACAGAAGGAAGAGATGGGGCAATCTTTGGGGGCTTTCTCTCTTTTGAATTTTTTTTTTTTTTTTGCTTAGTTTTTGTAGCTGATAACATTTTCCGGAGTCAGATTTGCAAACGGTGGGTCAGATGGTCCCCAGGGGAACGCTGAAGGTGAGGAGGCAGTTTCACCTCCCTCCCATCCCGCTGCCAAACCTGCCCCGTGCGCCGTGGGGATGGGCAGCCCCACTCAGCCCTCCCGTCCTCCATCACCCTCAGGACAAGACACGTCTGCTGCTCTATGGGGGTCGCACCCCGTTCCCGCGGATCCAGATGAGAGGATATTCAATATATTGATGTACAAGAGAAAGCTCCGACCAACGCTGCTGCCCAGTGACCTGCTCCTCTGTCCCCTGCTGCCTTTAACCCTTCTGCTGCTGCCCGGAGCCCACCGGCAGGACTCTGTACCTCCAGTCTCCCCTGCCACCCAGCAAAGTTGTCACCAGGGCTGGGGACGTCCAGCCCACCTTCACCCTGCATCTGGTGGTGCGCGTGTTGCGAACATGATGTATCAGCCCCGGCTCCCCGCGTGCCATGGCGGCTCAGAGGGAGTGAGACACGGGCAATGGTCGATCATGAGCCATTCCCCACCATCACCGCAGAGCTCAAAGCACCGTGTGAGTGCGGAGCCTCTCTCCTGCCATAACCAACATTGCCTGAGCCCTGCCGTGTCCCCACCATGTCCCCACCATGTCCCCACCGTCAGCCCTCAGCCCGGCCAGGGCCAAAGCTGGACCGAGCCACCACTGCAAGGGACCGAAACCAAAGCGATGACCCAATGCACCTGTGTTGCAAATGGAGCTATGGGGCGAGGGCGCGATGGGACGAGCTGGGATCGAGGTCCATTCTGCACTGCTGACGTGCTAGCCCCCACGTCCCACGGGGTTTCACGTTCGCTGGGTTCCCCCCGAGTGATGCTGGCATACCGGGACACGGACACGGGCACACGGGACCTGCTCCACAGCCAACCCTCTGCTCACCCTGGTCGGTGGCAGAGGCTGGGACCAGCACAAGCACCCCACAGCCCACCCCAGCCCCCCGTGCCTGCCAGGGCAGCTGGATATGGCCCATGGCTGCTGCCTGCTGACAAACCGGCAAGCTGGAGGAGATGCTGGTGGCCAGCAGCTCTGCCCACAGCCCCCGCCACAGCCACTGGCACAGAAAACAATGCTCAGGCTTGCAAAGAAGAAGAGGAAGGGAAGGGGAAAAGCAATGAAGGAAGCTGTGCGGTCCTACCTGTCCTTTAGGAAGAGTCTCAGTGCACAGATCGTCCCTACCGCCTATTAAGAGCAAAAAAAACCCAGGCTGATCTGTGCATATCCTGACTGCTCCGGGGCTCAGCGTGTCCAGCGCGGGGATTGCAGCCGCTCACTTCCCGGGGAGGAGGCTGCTGCTGTGTGAGTGGACGAGGGAAGGAGAGGAGAAAGGAAAAGTGGGGAAAAAAAATTAAAAAAATAATCAAGGAGTGGTCAAAAAGTGTATTAGAGGCAAATTTGGAAAGAAATCAATGGCAAGTAATTAGATTTGATTTTTCTTCACGTTTTGTTTGGCTGGGGGTTATGTATAGACTCTCTGTATGAGCGGAGCGGAGAGATTAAAGCGTGGAGAACAGGTGCCGGATCATGAGCCGGTGGCCACCAAAGCATGACAGCTCCATCACCGCTGTCAGGAGACACGGCAAAAATAAACATATAAATAAATAAAGGGGAAACCATGCAGGGAGGAGACAGGCGTTTGCTTATTTACTATTTTAGCT